CCCAGTCCCTGCCCCAAGCCCCTGCTGCTCTAACATACATTTCTATTGGTTATATATATCTAAATCCACTCCCTTCTTTCTGCATAATCTAAACTAATGTAATAAAGCGTAAACACACTAATTCCCTTCCCTAAAAAAACCCTTAACTTAAGCTATATATTTTCTTTCTATGAATAAAGGTGCGACATGCTTAAAAGTGTTTATATTAGTACTAGCTGTCCCCGTGCGGCTTTATCTGCGTAAAATTATAAATACTTTGTTATTGTTTACATTAGTCAAATTCTCAATTGCTAATATCAAAATTACCGTTACCATAATAACTTTGCTTCTATAATGTTGGTAGCTTGTAGTTTGTTGTCCCTTTTCCTACAAAAAGATTTCTTCCAAGGTATTTACCCTCAAAGTTTAATAGCGTGAAAATGTATAACCTATAGCTTGTCGTAAATGATATGGTAATAGTATAATGATAATAGAGGTTTTTATTAATAAAAAATATTTAAAAATATGCTGCGATTGCTGACATCCTACGCCACGAAGTAGTGTGTGTTTACGCTTTATTATATTAGTATTGATAGATAATAGTATTGATAAACTTGCATTACGTGTGAAATTTTTAATTTAAACTGTGAAGGAATATTGATTTTTTTTTTGTATTTCTTCAGGTGTCTCAAATGACGAAGGACAAACGTGCGTCCAGTATGGACCGACCAGTGAAGGCTGACCTCGGCAGTAACTCCATCGCGTCGCTGCCCGCACCCTTCAATATGCGCAGAGACAGGAAAGGAGTACTTATTTAGTTTGTATTATAGTTAATTAAGTATTTTAGTAGTTAGAAAGTAGAATTAATAATAGTTCAGTCACAAATCATAATTTTTACTACAATTTACCTGCGGTAATACGGCTCCAGGATAATTTGACATGTCTATTTTTAATTATGATTTTTTAATGTGATTATTATTTGTTCGACAATTTATTCTTTCTTTAGCTTTTAATTTACCGTTTCATTCATAATATAACATATAGTTTTGTAATTTGACGGATTCGAGATACCCTTTTGTAAAATAATCCGAATATTAAAGAATCTTAGTATACTATTAAAAAAAAATGATATTTCCGAGATTACCGCTGGACTATTGTATAGGGTGATTAGTGGGATATTAACAATACTAAAGCAGGGCACTATTTACGTCATTTTCTTTAAGAATATGTAGTAAAATTAGGTAGTATGACTGCATTATTCAAGTTTATTCTTTACTAGCTTTCGCCCGCGACTCCGTCTGCGTGGTATTGAAAAAAACAAAAGTGAATATATGAGTATGAGCCTAAGTTCATAATGATATTACAAACTTAAGCGTAATTGTTCAACAGTAAAACGTAAGTGTCTATTTTATATAGACATTCAATGCAATTTATTTTATTTTGACTAGTTTTTTTTTAATTTTTTTATATAATTTTAATTCGCTCCTCCGATTTTTTTACAACTAGTTTTTTTTAAATGTCGATAACTTGCGTAAAGCTTCGCCGGGTAATAAGTAGAAATAGGTAAATAATTACGTCGCTTAGGAAACTTAATTTAATCAAAAATATATCATGGCATCAATCGTATTTAATACATGATTTTCTCTCAACTTGCCCTTATCCCTTACGGAGGGTCGGCACAGTATGTGCTGCTCTTCCATACATCTCTATCAGCCGTCATATCTGAATCCACTCCCTTCTTAAGCATATCCTCTTTCACACAATCCATCCATACTTTCTTCGGTCTTCCTCTTCCTTTGTAGCCATCCACATTCAATGATAATAAAATAATAAATAATAATACATGATTTTCTAACGTACACAAATAAATTAGTTCTATTTTCTCGCAATATGGTGAGGGTCTTGTATTTCTGGTGAGGCTTTATACTCAGTCTTCACAGATTAGTGCAAATGATTTACAGATGACCAACAAATATAAATTCTATAATATTTTTGATTACTCAAATGTGGGACCGAAGAATGTATGGATTGCGTGTATGAGTATGTGCTAGAGAAGGGAATTCAGATATGTATGAAAGAATAGATAATGTGCCGACCCTCAAAAAGGGCAGGACGAACGTAATTTTTAAGTTATGACTATGTTCGTATGAGTTTTTTAGTGTTGAGAGTTTTTTTTTTACTGTCAATATATTAATGTTACACTCTTAACAGAATAATGCAAATTAAAAAAACTTTGAAATGCAAGAACTGTTGTTAACGTAAGAATTAATGTGAGATTTTTAGTCCATTTATCAAATGCTCATTTCGTTATTGAATTATATTTTTAAGTAAATGAGATCCTTTTGTAGTAGTTTTTGTAGATATAAATCAAAGTATCCTGATTTTTTTTCATTTTATATTAAGTTTTTTTAATAGTTACTTAGCGCGTGCACAGAGAACGAACAATTTTAAACATTACCTTGTTATTACCCATCTCTATCGCGCCCGCGTAAATATTATGCCTTTCGCTCGCACCGACAGCCGTCTGAAGGGATTATAAACCTTTTGTTGACGAATATTATTAAGTTTTTCTGCTGAAAAATGTTTGTCACCACTGACCTTTTGCAGAGGTTATTGTTAAATTAATCGTGCAAATCCAGCATAGCTTATATACAATTGGTTTTAACATCTTTTTTTTTGTAATATAAATATTTGAATACATTATTGACATCACAGGGTCTTAAAAACTCAGGGGAATCAAATTGATGCCTTAAAAAAAGATAGAAAGCCAATGCACAGACTCCTTTAACTAAATTATCTCACAATTGATTGTCGATGATTTTGCAGCCAATTCAACTGTTTCGTTGCACAACTAAAAATCGAATAGTGTGCTCCATATAAGCTCATAGGAATCTAAGTGAGACCATACAGTTGTGCGATAGTTTAGTTTCAGGTGTGCGTTTGCTCTAATAACTACAATTATGTTCGTTATACGTGGGTTTCGAGTATAATGACACTTGTCTTTGTCTGTTTCAATGAAAATGTGTGATGACAATATGTCAATACGAACTTTTTAAGACATTATGTGCCTAAAATCTGCCTATTAGTCGTAATATCTTTACTCTAATTTGTTTTTAAATGTAAAGGCACAAAATAAGCTTTACTATTTAACGTTTCACTTGTTAAATAAAATTATAATTAGGTTCTTGTAAATCTACTTATAATATTATAATCAATGGCAATTGTTATTTTTTTGTTTCTAGAAATAAAAATGACATCTTTAATCAGACGAGTTTTATTCAATCTAATTAAAAAAATCGTGGTTTTACGATAAATTGTTTTAAGTTTGTCAAAAAATGCGTAACTCTCTTGAGTGTCTTTCGTAGTCACGAAGGGTAATTTAAATTATTAAATGAAACAAAAAAAATATATTTTCTAACAGTTTAATTCTGAACTATTACATATTGTGATTAGCAACCGCTGCGTCATCGATTATTACCAGTTACCTGAAATGAATACTAAAGTTAAAACATTGCCACTATTACTTAAAATCGGTGAATAAAAAAAAATAAACCAATTAAGGAGATTTAATTTCTTTATACTGAAGTAACTGCTCTCATATAGACTAGTTTACGCCCGCGACTCCGTCCACGTGGGATTAAAAAAAAAAAGTAAGTAGCCTATTTCTTCCAGACTATCCTCTACATCTATACCAAATTTTATCGAAATCCGTTCAACCGTTTAGGCTACAAACTCTCAAACATCCATCTATCTAAACATTCGCATTTATAATATTAATATGATTACTATCTTACCAGGAATTAATTTTTGCATGCCAGTGGCCCAGTCGGACACGCCCTTTTCGAAATAGTTTATTGCACTCGGCGACTTTGGTGGTGGTGGTGGTGGATCTTTCTTGTCACCTAAAATAGATGAAAAATATTTATAAAAAGCCTATATTTCTGCACTTGCAGAACGCCGCCCCCAGATAAGATCCTATTAGTATTATGTAGTATTTTTATACTATAAAGAATAAAAAAATATTTGATATTTTCGGATGAAATAATAAAATAAACTTACCGTCAGCAGGCATGGCAAACTGAAAATAATAACAGACATTAATAGAGATTTTAAACATCTATCAATTAAGTGTTTGTAAAGATTTTAAAACAAAATTAATTGTAGCTTTTTAATAGCTTTTAAGTTCTTAAATATTTATAAGAAATATAAAAATTCTTACCATGCACGCAAATAGTGCAAGGATAACCAAAAAGCAAAGTATATGTTTCATGTTAGCCAACGAGTTTTACAACCACTAATACAACACTAAAAGAATTCGACAAACGAACTTATTATATACTTGTTTTTAAACGAAAAACGGACACTGATAAAGCACCTGAACTAATACGGTATTGCGCACGAAACCTTTGTTATTCAAATTCTTCCATTTTCCGCGATGATGAATGACTAATTATTGAAAACCATTATTTTAAAACGTTCATCATCTATTGTGTAATTTCGTCCAAAACGTTTTGTATCTGAGTCAACATCTGTTTTATATTATTTTTTATTTTTTTTTTTACAACTTCGGCCTAGAAGTGTAATTATAAATAAGGATTAAGCCACAGAGTATTGTACATGTGTTTACAATCCAAAATAGTTTCAGAGTATTATTATTGACTTATATACGTGGTAGGAGGGGTGACATGGTTGTTGTTCTGTGGTTTAACCATTATCAGTGTTCCATCTTAGGGCGTTTTATCACCTCGATCACATGTTTCAAATTCCTATTCTGCATGTTATATCCTTGCAGCAACGCACATCATTTTAACGCACCGTGTTAGTCTTATTGAAATTTATTTAGACCAACATGCAGTGTCATCGTCAAGGTCAAATCAACGATAGTTTTTGTATACGCCTTTAAGAAATACCATTGAAAGGCGTGACTTTCTGTTATTTAGAGTCACGACAGCCATGAAGTTGGTAACTTTAAATGTAGCATGTTTAATACTCAATGGGAACCGGCAGAGATGCAGAAAAATAATTGAACCAAACTTTAATAACAATCTTTTAACAAAAAAAAATTAAGCTACTGTGATATTTAGGTTTGTTCGATTATCTTCTATTGTTGGAATCAAAATCTGCAATTGAACTGTAATGTAGACGAAGCTTGAAGCGGCGATGCGTAACACCAAGCCAGTGTTCAAGTAATACATTCCGTACAAAGACAGTCGGGGATCGCGATACTCCAATGTCCGTAGAATTCGTTTAGTCAGTTGCAAAATTGCATCTGAAAAATAATACATTTTAATAATTAAATCTTCGATAACGTAAACGTAGATTATAACATCCGGTGTTCAGAAGAACTTGCTAGTATTTGGTACCTTACCACTGCTGCTTGGTCTGAGTTGTATGTAGGTGCAGAGTAATTTTGTCTTGTCTATCTGTCGACAAAATAAATCTGTTTGTTGGCTAACTCCGTATTCATACACCCAGCCTAAAAGGACCCATCCGACAATGCATACTATTCGTAAAGTATTGAAATCCTGAAAAAAATGAAATAATTGGACGGTTGTGTATAGTAGTGTGATTATAAGGACGGTGTAATGTTTATTTATCACGTAAACTAAATTTCATATTTACCGTAGACTTGTCGTATGTAATAACAGATGGTACACACAGAAATGTGCCTATTGTGACTGTACACATGCCCACAAACACCTGCAAATGTCATAATTATAAAAAAATGTTAAACATAATTGATATCATATATTTTCTAACAAAATAATCGTACCGTGAACCGATAGCACTTTTCTAACTGTCGTAGTATCTTGAAGATAATTTTAAACCCTTCAACAAAATCATCAGAACTTGCAAAATTGTGAAATGTAACCAAATCGTCGAATTTTTTCTTCCATATTAATCCATCGAATAAAAATTGCTTTGGAAAATGTTCTGAGTTTAAATTAGCCCTTTTAATTATGGCCACATTTATGTAATGAACTCTCAAAGCGAGAAAAACGTAAAGTGTGAGTAAAAAGCAAACATCGTAAAATATAAAGAACAAAAGTCCAAAGTATACGGTACCCACAACGTGGATAGAAAATGGTGTCGGATATGCAAAAATTAAGACAACCACTGTTACACCTTGAAATGAAGCTATAAAAATTGTTACTATCAGATAGGCTTTATCCACGATATCTCTCATAAACTTCGTCTCAAGTACTCCAAAGAGTATATCAATATCGAAACAATAATCAAGAAGTATTAAACCAGAATTTCTATTAGGTATTGCTATGTTTAATAATATAATATTTTGTAACAAAGCAAAAAGAGTTAAAATGATTACTTCAGCTATTGACAGAAAATTAGTTTTCAAGTAGCAAATATAGTACATATAAAATGCTGAAAAGTTGCCTGAAATAATAGCAAGTATAGCTCTCAATATGCTCTCTGAAGCTTTCTTTGGAGTGATTCTTCCATTCTTTGTTTGAAAACGAAAAAATCCTGCAAATTTAATTATCCATAGTAATTTGTTGTCAAATTTGGTGCAATATTCTCTAGCTAGTATTGCCTTAGGATCCATCGTCGCGTATTAACTGACGGTAACTGTAATAAAATTGGTCTGTAGTAAAGGTAATGTCGTTTTAAAATAATCATAAAACATTTTGATTTTCTGTCTCCAGAGAAATAACTGAATCAATTTGTTTTATTACCAACGTAATCTGATTGAAGTGTTCGATTAAAATTTTATGGTAATTATCGTTCAGACCCAGTTATTAAGATTTATTGTATGGTTTTAAATTATGTTTTTTTATTCAATTTAATCTGTCCTCAATTGTGTACTAGCTGGAAACAAAAAAGTAAGAATTTATCTCACTTTTTTGTTTTTTTTTCGTATCGTGTTAATAACTTGAGCAGGTCTTTGTTCTAGTAAAGCAATCATTTAATAATTTGACGTCTAAATAAAACAACAGAGATATGTTTAATCATGATATATTGCTTATCAGTACAGAATAACAAAATGTTTGTGTCTAAAAATATGAACTTAAGTTTGACAATTCAATGAAAATGCTAGTAAATGCAACTGACAAGTATTTAGTTAGGATCGAGATACAGCGTTATTAATTTGTATACAGACAAACCGACGATAAGCCAATATATTTATAATTTTCAGATCTATGAAATCTTACAAAATCGTAAAAAATACTTTAACAATTTATTCATTTTTAAAATCTCATAACACTAATTAGGTACTACTAAGAAGAGTAGATATTACATCCTCAATTTTTACTACTATTCACTATATTGAGACATTATATACAATTTTAAAATTCATCCACAAGCTTCGCTGTGAAAGCGCAAATTGAGCATATTATTGTTCTTAAAACATTTAATTTCGCACAAACTTTTCACGTACGCGACGCGACGTTTGTAACATTATGCAGTAACAACCAACTCATTAAATAACTTAGTTACACGAATAATTCTCACACTCACTCACAGCACAAACTGTAACCGATCAATTATAATTTAAATAATATAAATATTTCTAGAAATGCATTTAAAATTGGTACGACATTTAGTGAACCATTCGAGGTCACATCAATTTATATAAAAAAAAATTACACATCATATTAAGTACCAACAAAGAACAAACATAACATTAAGTACATAACACATAAAAATTGTGACAAAGTTTTGTGTTAACATGATAGACAATTAGAAGCTAGTATCACTAAATCGAGGAAAGAAATTCCTTATTGTGGAGTTAATTTTTCATCAAGCTTAGGAAACGCCTGATAACCTTATGAACCGGACAAAGAGTGTCATCCGATCCATAACGGCTTCATTTTAAGTCAGCGGCCACTCGCCTCGCCTAGCACCATACGTAACCAACGCAGTCCAACGCTGAATTAAAATCAAGCTCACAATTACGATTTTAATAACTTCAAATATATCCTTAAAACTAAAGCTATCTTTATCCTATGTTACGAACTAAACTTATACATAATCCCGTACCATCACCAAAGATTGCACATAATACCCGATACTTTGATTTTTTAATTGCAGTCATGCCTAACTATAAGGCCAGTGTAATTTCAATTGACTGTTAAAAAATAAAGGTATTTTTGGGAACTTTAAATTAATAAAGTTCCATATATTATTACGAATTGTTTTAAAACGAGGAATGTTTGCATTTAGTTTGGAAGACAATGTTAATTATTACTAATAAGAGAAGTGCACATTGATCTCATAAAGCACTGGGAAATTTAAAAGTCAATTTAATCATTTCGATTTGAGTCACTAATAACGGACGGAATAAATTCGTTATACATCGCATAACAATTGTTATGTTTCCAAATTGGAAAGCGAATAATAAATTATTAAGTACCTAGAGATATCAACATTAAATTGAGTTAATTTTTAATTTATGTCATCAGTCGTAAATATTTTTTAATATTCAGTTGTGAACCGGCATCGGCAATTGTCCCAACAGTTGATTGGCAAACGATGCGTTCGTGAATTTAAAATGCCGCTTGTCGTAGAACTTCAGAAGCGCTGGCGAGTAAGGATGTTGCTTCTTGAGGTGCATGTAATGTTCCTCCGGTTCTGAGGTGGTGTGACCGCATTCTTCGCACACGTACATCTGTAAAAAATATCATTCCAATTGATTATCTTTACACTCATAATTAATAGCCTACAAGTATACATATTATTTTTATTCTGTTTCTTTACTTTTAAAATAGATATCGACTGCTATAGTAAGTAAAATTAATTTAAAAATTAAAGATTAAATTACCTTAGTCCTTCTTTCTTTGTAAGCATATGTGTGCTGTACGCCATGTACTTTTAGGCAGTGAGATTCTAGGGAACATCTTTGT